CCAGGCCAGCAGGAACGCTCGCGTGGCGCCCGCGGCCGCCGGGCGAGAAAAAAGGCTGGGGACCCCCAGCGCTGCCTGCCTCTACCTGGGTCCTGCCCCTGTGGTCCTTGCGGCGGGACTTCTTGCCCTCGCTTCTCGCGTCTGTCCCCACCTCCTCTGCTCTCTTAACCCCTTGAAGCCAAGTCAGGCTTGTTCACTTACGTGAAGCTTCCTGCTGATCCTTCTAATCCGTGTCTTGCTTTCTTTTCTTTCTTTTTCTTCTCCTTTTTAAAATTGTGTTTCTTTGCCTACATGCCTATCAGGATTTGGTGGGCTTGAGACTGCCAACTCTTCCGCCAGTGGGTTTAATTTTGGGGGTTTCGGATTAACTGCTAATCCTGCAGTGAACTTTAATATTGGGAATTTCGGTGTTTCCACTACCTCGGTGACTCCGTTCAATTTTGGTAACAGTCTGGCAAGTGCAGGTAGATATTGCGGGGTGTATGTGTAACGAGTGTGGGGAGCTTGAGTCCAAGAATATTTTGTGGTTCCTGGATTTGGGGAAAGACCGTGACCTGTCTAATAAGGAAAGGAAATTTGTTTCCTTACGTCGAATCAAAAACATTTGTATCAAGTTTTAACTGTCTGAAGATTTGGTTTTGGAAAGTCTTGCAAATTTTAATACCCCTTGTTAAATTTGCACTGAATTGAATGGACTATATCTTCTAAATGATGTGAATTTGGATTATACCTTTAAATAGAATATATCTTTAAAACTATTAAGTGTATCTTACAAAGTGTAAACTTACCGGTCAGGCCCTGGGATTCTTGGACTCCTGCAGTCATTTTTCATTTTTTCTGCATTTTTCATTGGGGTTTCATTTTATTGTCCTTTTGTTTCCAAAGAGAAACAAGTCTTATACGAACAGCAGTAATCTTTCTTGTTTTTTTAGCTTGCATAATAATGATAATAATGTATTTCTTTGGTCAATAGATGAGGATACATTTCTGTAAGATACATAATTGTATAAAGAATCACCAACTCTGCTGCATTTCTGGGAAATGCTCAGAGAAAGCGATTTTATTGTCATATAGCATTGAGTTCTAAAAAGTGGGCTGGACATCATTGCATTCAAATAAATAATTATGAAGATTTTCGTATCCATGCGGACAGTTTGAAGCTCATTAAAAATTTTGCCAAACACGAACTGTAATAGATATGATATATAAATTTGAAATATGTTTGTGTACTTGATGTATAGTGACCCTATAGGAAAAATCTTCAGCTGCTCGTATATGAATTTATCGTCCATATTCTTACATTATGATGCCCATGCCAATTATATGCATTTGGTAAGCATTACTCCCTAAAACTTATTTGGGAAGTCTGGTATTATGTGCATTTACTTGTGATTGCAGTGCCAATATCACTCTAGCATCTGAGCTGAAAACAGTTTGAAGACTATTTGACAATTCCAAAATTAATTCTTTATAAATTAAGATACATTTAAAGTGATCATGTATCACTATTCTGTGGTGTGTTTACTTTTCCTCCTTTGCTTAAAATTGGCATTGGGTAAAACAGAAACCTTATTTTGAAATTTGTGTTTCCAAATAAAGCCACCCAGCTCATTATTCAACAACAATAAATAAATTTGTTGATATTTGCTTGATTCCATGTTAATTTGGAGTTATCACTGTTAAGTTTTGAGTTATGATAACATAACTGTTTTGATTACTTTTACATATGTTAATTAACCTTCAGCAAAGGGCTGATAGAAATTCTTGTTTACTTTTTATTTTGTATCCTTGCAGATCCACTATTACTAAAACATTTTTAGTATTGTGGAGCATAATGAGAAAATAATGTTTTTATTGTAGCAAATTCAGATTATTTCATAGTTATTTTATGAAAGTGAGGTGTAATGAAAACATTAGGAACAGTGTTTACTTCTTTAGGTAATTTTTATGAAACTGATTACAGTTTGCAGTACTGCAATAGAACCTACGAGTAAATGTAATATTTGGTTATGCCTGCCTGTAACCAAATCAGAATTATATGACTAATGTCAAATGATCAAGTTTTTTCTTCTTACATATTTTATGTTACAATACTGATGAATTTGTCTTGTATACCAGATATACATGAGAATAAAGGTAGAATCCCAAAAAATATGCAGTATAACTTGGCACTAATGGTTCCAACATTTGTCTTAAAAGGCTTTTAGACACCACATTGGTAATCAGCTAAAGACTGACAATAAGTTAAAAAAAAAAAAACAATTTTAGATAGACAGGCATTCTCTTCATATGTCGAATTATAGATATGGTTAAAATAAATTTCATCTTTAGATGAAAATAAATAAATTTCATCTTTACCTGGAAATGAAATTTGTGGTGCAGAGGCCTGCTTTCCTTCCCTCCCACTGCCTCCATTTGTTTTTTTCCTTTGTCTCTTCCTTCAAGAAACACATTCTTACTGTATAGAGGTAAGTATATCAGTATGTTTCCTTTGAAAAGTTAATTAGCCTTGACAAAAACTAAGGAGAAATATAAGCTAATGTAGATACAAATTAATGTGCCAAAACCCAGGTTGCAAACTGGCAACAAGTCTGCTGACATGATATGTTTGGCACACTATTTTTCAAACATTTGAATTCATCCCAAAAAAAAAAAAAAAAAAAGAAAGAATTAGGGTTTAAAAACCAATAAATTTTACTTAGAGAATCCAGATTTCCTCTTTATCTTGGGGTTAAAATGGGACTATGTGACACTACTAAGCTACCATTCTTCTGCAGTAGTATCTGCTGGAATTTAGGAACTGCTGCATTTAAAAAAAAAAATTGTTCATGGCCAGGTGTGGTGGCTCACGCCAGTAATCCCAGCACTTTAAAAGGCTGAGTGGGAGAATCGCTTGAGCCCAGAAGTTAGAGACCATTCTGGACAATATAGCAAGACTTTGTCTCTCTCAAAAAAAAAAAAAAACCTGTTCACTTTAAATAGTCCCACCTGTCAGCAAACACATGGTCTACTTTGCTCATGACTGTTTCATTTGAATCTTGAAGGTGTTTGAATTTACAGCCCCTAGTCTAAAACTACATACCGTCATTTTAGAGTCATGGCACTAGGCTCAATGTGTGTTCTCAGCTGTAAATATTAATCACTCCTTTAGTTGAAGGTTATGTACCGCACTGGGATATTTCTATTTAAAATACTTAGTAGCATATTTCTTGCAACATATTGACTTATTGATTCTTCTTTTTTTATTTTTACAAATTGATGCTGAAAGTAGCAAAAGGAAAGGAAAAATTAGATCAATATATTTTTATTTTATGTGTAGCAATTTATTATAAAATAATTTGAAAAATTGCCTTTATATATACAAAAGATTCTTCCTTCTGTTCTTATCCTCCTTAAATAGGTGGGTTTGGAGGTTTTGGGACAACATCTACAACTGCAGGTTCTGCATTCAGCTTTTCTGCCCCAGCCAATGCAGGCACTACTGGTAAGAGGCCATCGTAAGTCATTTGTAGAAGTAAATGAGGTAGAGGTTACTTTTTTTTTAATGTATGTAAATTCAATTTTTCATTCCAAGGACTCTTTGGTGGCACTCAGAACAAAGGTTTTGGATTTGGTACCGGATTTGGCACAACAACAGGAAGTAGTACTGGTTTAGGTACTGGTTTGGGAACTGGACTGGGATTTGGAGGATTTAATACACAGCAGCAACAGCAGCAAACGAGTAAGTATGGGATTTGCATCTTCAAATATAAAAACCATATCAATAATAGCCGATGCTATTGATTGCATTGTTGGAAATTCTTTAGTGGATTACCTTATTTTTTAAGAATTATAAAAATTATATTTCAAAGGATTCCAAAAGCTACTTTCATGTTTCTATGTGATAGCAATTGGGTAGAAGCAATTGGGTAGGAGATTGGTGTGATTAGGTTTATAAAGTCCCTGCAATTAAAACTTCTGTTGTTAAAAATAATACAAATAGAGGAAGCCGCACAGAAGCACAGCTTAATGAATTCTGTGTAAAGTTAATGCCATTGTAATCATGCTATGTTAGGAGATGAGCCCAGGCCAGCCACTCCAGAGGCCTACCACATTTCCCTTCCAGTCACTTCTCCATCAGAGGACTACAGTCCTATCTCTTATGATGATCATTTCATTACTTGTCTTGTCACTCAAGTATGTAAACAGTATTATTTAGCTTAGCCTGTCTTAAGCCTCTATAGGTGCCTCTTTTATATCTTATTTGTTTTTTAATTTGTTGGAGAAATGGATTAGTTGTCCTATAATAAAGTCCTATAGACTTTACTGATCGCTTTTCTGTGGTATAGTTTAACATATTTCTTTATTCTCTGTATCTCTTAATAATTGGGTTAGATCTGGGGGCTTATTTATATCATAGTTCAGTTTTTTGTTTGTTTGCAAGATAATTTTACCAATGCTGTATTCTTTATCAAGAAGCATATATGTCTGATTGTCTCTTTTTTGAGTGATATTAGCAGCCATTGGTGATTGTTCCCCAGATCCATTAATTCAGTAGAGGTTACAGAATGGTGCTGTTCCACCTTGATTCCTTTTCCATTTATTTGTTGGAATACTTCTGTGAAGAGCAGCTTCACCTCATCTATTTGGTTGATTCTTTTTATTACTAGTTTTTAGAATAAAGAATTGGTTCTCTTGCATTCTCCAAAAGTGGCCAATTTTTTTTTTTTTTTTTTTTTGAGTTGGAGTCTCATTCTGTCACCCAGACTGGAGTGCAGTGGCTGCTCCCGGCCACCGCAGCCTCGACCTGCTGGGCTCCGGCGATCCTTCCACCTCAGCCTTCCAAAGTAGCCGGAATTACAGGCATGTGCTACCATGACCGGCTGATTTTTTGATTTATTGTAGAGATGAGGTCTTGCTGCCCAGGCGGGTCTCGAACCCGCGGGCTCAGGCAATCCACTCACCTCAGCCTCCCAAAGGTGTGGGATTACAGGCTGAGCCACCGAGCCCGGCTCCAATTTTTTTTAATGTCAGAAACTTAGACATTTAAACTATTTTCCTTTTTTTTTTTGAGTTGGTGTCTCACTCCATTGCCCAGACTGGAGTGCAGCGGCACGCTCCTGGCCACTGCAGCCTCAAACTGCTGGGCTCCGGCAAGCCTTCCGCCTCGGCCTTCCAAGTAGCTGGAACTACAGGCACGCACTACCACACCCGGCTAATTTTTTATTTGTTGTAGAGATGAGGTCTCACCAAGTGGCTCAGGTGGTCTCGAACCCGCAGGTTCAGGTAATCCACTCACCTCAGCCTCCCAAAGCGCTGGGAATTACAGGCTGATCCACCGAGCCTGGACTAAAATGTTTTTCTTATCCAGTTATTCTTGTCGATGAATAAATTGTTGCATCTTTGATCAGTGTGAGCTTCTTGGCATCCAAGTGCCTTTGACACAGTCTGGTTTTAGTCTTTGATGACATCTTTGCTAGCTGTTACGGCAGCAGGTTCCAGGGGTTATCCTATATGGGTTAATTCATCTTCATAAGAACCCTATGACATAATACTGTTGCTACCTCCATTTTATGGTTGAAGAGAAGGAATGGAGAAATTACAATTTATCCATATACTTCTTAAGAAGAAGTACAGAAACGTAAATTCAGGTTCCTTGACTCCCTGTGGAGTGCTTTTTATCTTTTCCAGTCTGGTACCTCTTAACATTACGTTTGTTTTATCTTTCGTAGATCACTCGATTAACTAGCTAAAATTCATTCTACTCAGTCAAGGACTGACTAACCAATAGGATGAAGATAAGAAAATAGTAATCTCAAAATTATTCTTTCTAGTGTTCCAATCATTCATCTTTTCTACAATCCTGCAGAAATACTGAATTTGATGAAATGTCTGAGTTGTCAAGGAGTTGTCAAAAATAAAGACAGCAAAAATGAAGTGTTTTATTTCTTGAAATACAAATCTCTCCAACAATAAGTAACTGTTGTTGCACTTTTGTTAGGAAAAATGGGAATTTGAATCTGGTGCTATTTTAAAGATGAAAGGGGTTCATTTAGTTATGTAGTATCCATTTACTGTCTATATTGCATGTCAGGCATTGAGTGTATATGGTTGAAAACCACAATCCTTGCTCACAGTCTACAAGGAGATTGCATGGTATTCCAGGCAGATGGAATGACATTGACAAAGGCTTGGATTCCTGGCAGAGCATAATGCGTTTGTGGCCTACAACTAGATCAGTATAGTTTTAATGCTAAATGATCTCAGGGTCAGGAGTAAGAGTTGGAGAGATAGGAACTGGATTATAAGGGGGACTTGTGTGTTTTACTAAGGAGCTGTCTTTGAGCAATTCTGAACCACAGTAGGATTTAAGCTAGGCAGAAAAATTGTCAGATTTTTAGAAGTATCTGTGAGAGAAATAGAAGGATGGATTATAGGTAGGCTGGAATGAAGGCAGGGATACTGGATCTAAAGCTGTTGCCAAAATCTGAGCAAGAGAGAGTGAAGACTTGAATGAAGGCAGTGGCAAGAGTGAAGAGAAAACAGGAGACGGATTTGAGAGAGATTTAAGCTGTCAAATCAATACAACTGGGCAGTGCCTGGTTAAAGTTGTCTTGGGCTCCCAGGTGGCATGACTGAGTGAGCCCTTGCTCTTTACTAAGATTCAGAATACCAGTGTTAAGAGCAGGTGTTGTGGGTAGATGATGAGTGTGAAATATTCCCTAGGTAGTTGTACAGGTGCATATAGGAATGAACTCAGGAGAAACACAAAAACTATCAGAACATTAGTATTTAAAGCATTATTCACAATAACAGAAACATGGAACCAACCATGCTGTCTATCAAAAGGGGATTGAATAAAGACAATGTGGTACATTTGCACGATGAAATATTGTGCAGCCATAAAGAAAAACAAAATTTTGAACTTTGCAGCAACCTGGGTGGATTAAGAGACTGTAATACTCAGTGATCTATCACAGAAACAAAGAACACATGTTCTCACTCATAAGTGGACCCTGAACACTTACCATAATGCTGTAAGAAAGGGCTTGGCTACTCTGACACTGCCAGAGGAGCGGGCACATAACATCAGTAAGGATATCCACACTTTACCTGTACGATGACCACGTATGTACCTACCCTGAATTGTACCCTACATTTTTAAAATAAAAAATAAGAGAAAAAATAAAGCAGTAGGTATGGATGATGTCATTTAGGAGATTTGATTCCAGAGTAACATACTAGAGAGTACTGGGACAACACTCTTGGAAACATTTACATTTAAATGAGTAGGCAGAGGAAGAGCAGAAGAGCAGTCCATCTCTTACTGCCATCCCCTACTGCCAAGCCAAGTGGGATATTGACACCAAAACGCTGAGTGCCATGCTGAGGACCACTGTCCCCACACATGTGCCATCCACGTGTACCTCATACTCATTGGCTCCCTTTTGCCAGCTATTCCTGTCTTAGTTGGTAATACCTGTGAATCAGGAGGAAAAGATATATCTGGCTTTCCTTGCAACCACCACATGGTCCTTTCCAAACCAAAACACTGATTATTCACAAGTGATACTTTCTGCCCTTCCCATTATCTCCTTATGCCTTCACTACTCTAGCTTGGATTCCATGGCCTTCCATTTCAGTAGCCCTTACCAGTATGCTAAACTTCATTGTTTTTGTGTCACATTTGCCTGAAAAAAAACTCCAAACTTTTGTAAACCCAACTGCCTGTTCAGATATTGCTTGAGAAAATTACACATTATGAAAAATTAAAGTACTCTATAAATTCTTTTTTTATTGACATTGTTATTCCAAAATGTAGCCCATAAAAAATAGTTATTGGTATCTTTACCTTTTTGTTTTTGTTTTTTTTGTTTGTTTTTTGAGTTGGAGTTTCACTCTGTCACCCAGACTGGAGTGCAGTGGCACACTCCTGGCCACCGCAGCCTCTACCTGCTGGACTCCGGCAATCCTTCCGCCTCAGCCTTCCAAATAGTTGGAACTACAGGCACGCGCTATCACACCCAGCTAAATTTTTGATTTATTGTAGAGATGAGGTCTCGCCAAGTTGCCCAGGCAGGTCTCGAACCTGCAGGCTCAGGCAGTCCACTCACCTCAGCCTCCCAAAGTGCGGGATTACAGGCTGAGCCACCGAGCCCTTAAATTCTTGATTACCAACCTCAGGTGTCACTATTACCTGGTAATCCTGGGAAGATCCTGTCTTCAAATGTACTCTCTTGCTTTCTACAACAGTTATTGTAGACTTTTACTCTCTTCGAATATCAGATTTTTGTGTTCACTTTTAGCAGATGACCTTGACCCATACTTCAAAGAGAAAATAGAAACTCTCATTTCAAATCCTTTAACTTCCCGCCGGCAGATCTATTTCTTTTTCTTTCTCTCCCCATCCTTTTCTCCTTTTACCTATGCTCAGGCTCTCATAACCACCTCCTTTCTAGGGGCCCTTGTGCTATTCTTTATTCTTCTATCTGGACCTCCCCCCAAAGTCTTCAACTTCTCTCCCCAAGGATCTTTCTCATCCACATTTAAATAACCTGAAATTTGTTTTTTTTAAAAAACAGGAATAACAAAAAAATTACTTATATCTTACCTTCCACTTCAGTTCCCACTGTTCTTGCCAAGCTACTTGGAGGAGTTGGAAGAATAGGAGCCCTGCTCCTGTCTTCTGGACCTCTCAGACTCATGCCTGTCTGGTTTCTGTTTTCTTTTTCTTTATTCTATCGTATAAAGTCATTAATCATCTCAATAAATCCAGTGAACCCCTACTTTTCTTCAATTTCTTCAATGAAAAATTCTAACAACCAAAAATGAATAGTGAGTTGAATCCCACTAACTAGTCATCAAAAGTCAGATTTTGCCACATTTGTTATGATCTATTTTCTCTTTCCCTTTTTTTGATTGCTAAAGTACTTGAAAGCAAATCCCAGCATGTTATTTCACACTTACTTTACCCTTTAAAAATTGCTTCTTTAAAAATTTGTCCATCATTCCAAAATGCAGTAATTCCTTGATATTATCTAATGCCCAGTCCATAATCAGATTTCCCCGTATGTCTTCATTTGGTTTATTTGAAACATCTTCCAAGCAGGGTCCACACAATCATTTTCTTGTTGTGTCCCTTAAGTTCTTTTTAGTATAGGGAATTCCACACTTGTTTTCCCTCATAGGTTTCCCAGTTGTCCTTTGAAATATCCTCCATTCTGGATTTTCTGTGTGCTTTCTTGTAATATCATTTGACTTTACCCCTCATATCGCCTCATATTAGAAGATCTCACTTTGGTGATGCTGAGATTGGTCAGTGGGCACAAATGATGACAGCAGACCTTCTTATAATGTTCCCCATCAGCCTTTAACCTCAGAGTTTCATCCTTTGATGATCATTGCCTCAATCAGTGGGGCTGAGGGAATAATCAACAGCGGGAGGACCCTAAGAGGGTAGGAAGGTACAAGAAGTCTAGTATGCTAAGGCTTGAAAAGAGTCTATTGGATTTTGTAATGTGGCTTCATCAGTGCCTTCCAGCTAGTGAACTTTGAGTAGGCTAGTGTGGGTGTAATTCAATGCAAAGTGTAAAAGGGAGGCAGAATAAAATCAGTATAGATTATGGTTTATTCCATCTTATTTAAGAGTGGAGGAAGCAAGTCTAGGCAACATAGCCAGACCCTGCCTCTACAAAAAGTCAGCCATGCATGGTGGTGTATGCCTGTAGTCCCAGCTACTCAGGAGGCTGAAGATGGAGGATCACCTGAGCCCAGGAGTTGGAGTGAGCCATGATCAAGCCACTGCATTCCAGTCTGGGTGACAGAGTGAGACCCAGACTCAAAAAAAAAAAGTTGAGGAAGAGAAAGCCCAGGAATTTCTTGCTCAAGGCTTCATAGTATACTTCTAACAAATTAGAATTCAGATGTTTTGAGTTATAGTTCACTTCTTTTCACTGTTTATGTATGCCCATTTGGGAGTTACTCATACTGTGCAGAAGTGTAACAGCCTTTCTCCAGCCCTGTGGAAGCCCCATGAACCTTACTGTACTTTAGTCTTTGAAGCTGAAAGAGAGCTTAAATATCTAACATGGTGTTCTTGAAACTCAGGTCCTTTTTGGCACTGCCTTCATGTCTTCTTCTTACCTACGTACCATTTGCATTACTGTTTAAGAGTTTTTTAAAATCACTTTTGAACATTAAATAGTTATTTTAAAATATGTACTGCTGCTATAAAGAGGAAACCAGTGTCATTTGCTATGAAGAAAAGGTAATTGAAATCAAGTCCAAAGAAAATATAATAATGTTAATAAATTCTGACTAGATACCATTGCCTTAAGCTCTGAGCCTTAGACTTGTCCCTCCTTTGTTAAAAAGTGAGACATGCAGGTTTCATGAATTGGTAAAGGTATTCTATCACCAGACTTTTTCTTGATATAATCAGGCCATCAAAAAAGAATTTTTTGTTATGTGAATTAGGGCCATTTAGTGACTCAGTTGTTGCTTGACAGTTGCAATTTCATGTACCAGGGGTACTTATCACACTTTGGGAAATATTTATCTGTCATAAGGACTTTTATTTTCATTGGAGAAATTGGTAACCCAGAGAGGTTAAATGACTTGCCTGAAGTTACACAGCCATCTAAAGCTTTAACCTAGAATACTGGTCCTTAGTCCATTTGTTCTTTTCATTATATATATTTTATAATAAGAGAAGGAAAAGCATTTAGTAAGCTGATGCTGAGATCATGACTTTTAAGCTTATTTTGTATCCCTCAGTTTATATTGATTTTACAAATATAACAGCAGTAAAGATTTTTTTTTGGGCGGGGGGTTGGAGTCTCACTCTGTCGCCCAGGCTGGAGTGCAGTGGCATGCTCACGGCCACCCTAGTGTCAACCCGCTGGGCTCAAGTGTTCCTTTCGCCTCAGCCTTCCAAGTAACTGGAACTATAGGCGTGCACTACCTTGCCCAGCTAATTTTTGGTTTTGTGGTAGAGATGAGGTCTCACCAAGTTACCCAGGCTGGTCTTGAACCTGTGGGCTCAGGCAATCCACTCACTTCGACCTCCCAAAGTGCTGGGATTACAGGCTGAGCTACCGAGCCCAGCCAAGAATATTTTTTAAAGAAAAAAATCCTGCAGCTTCACAAACTTCACTTTCTTTGTTCATATACGTTAGTTTTTCTTCTGGTGTGTGTCCAAAATTGTGGATCCAATTTGTGTTCTGGTAATAGAATTAATTGTATTGAGATAACGTCATGAAAAAAGTGAGTTTAATGTTATTACTGTTTGTCCTAGTATATTAGCTTTCTATTGCTGCCATAACAAATTACCACAAACTTAGTGACTTAAGACGATAGAAATTTTTTATTATTTTTATTTTTTAGAGACAGATTCTTGCTCTGTCACCCAGGCTGGAGTTGGTACAGTGGCATAATCATGGCTCATTGCAGCCTTGAGCTCCTGGGCTCCAACAGTCCTCTCACTTCAACCTCCCAAGAAGCTGGGGCTACAAGCATGCTTGTGGAGATGGAGTCTTGCTATATTGCCCAGGCTGGTCTTGTACTCCTGGGCTCAAGCAGTCCTCCTGCCTTGGCCTTCCAAAGTGCTGGGATTATAGGTATGAGCCACAATGCTCAGTGAAAATTAATTTTTTACAGTTTCTGGAGATCAAAAGTCTCCAAAATAGTCTTCAAAAGAAATGGATTTGACTGAGCTAAAATGAAATTTTTGGCAGTACCTATGCTACTTCTAGAGGCTGTAGGGATGAATCCACTCTCTTGCCTTTTCCAGCTATATTTCTTGACTTGTGGCCTCTTCCATCTTCAAAATCAGTAGCATAACCAGGCCTTCAAACCAGTCATTCAAAACCCGTCATTCTAACTCTGAGCTCACTCTTCCACTTTAAGGACCATATAATTACATTGAGCCCACTCTCATAATCCAGAATAACCCCCCATCTCAACATGCCTAACTTAATCACATCAGCAAAGGCCTTTTTGCTATACAACATAATGTACTTACAGATTCTGTAGATTACAATATGGACATCTTTGGAGGTACTGTTATTTTGCGTACCATGCCTTGGATCTGAATTGCTTACTTAAGGTTTTGTTGTTGTTGTTGTTGTTGGTTTTAATACTGATTTGGGGTACATTTTTAGCATTAGGTGGTCTCTTCAGTCAACCTGCACAAGCTCCTACCCAGTCCAACCAACTGATAAATACTGCAAGTGCTCTTTCTGCTCCAACACTATTGGGAGATGAGAGAGATGCTATTTTGGCAAAATGGAATCAACTACAGGCCTTTTGGGGCACAGGAAAAGGATATTTCAACAATAACATTCCACCAGTGGAATTCACACAAGAAAATCCCTTTTGCCGATTTAAGGTATTAATACTGGTTTTACTCTTCAATTGAAGAATGTGAATAAAAGGAAATATTATATTTAGATGAAAATAATATCAAGATAACAATTGCTTGGATCTTTACTCCTTGAATATAGTATGATTATGCTTTTATTTTAAAAATATAGAAATTATAAAATTGAAGTGATTTATTACATATATATGGTTGAAGGTGACCAGAATATGACTGAAGGAAGGTGTGACTAGAATGTGATTTATAACTAAAAAAATAATAACAGGAGAATGGTCTCCTTGATACTGTAGAGAGGAACCCCAACCTAGAATTTAGTGACTCTTATTTAACATTGGCCAGCAGGCAGGAATTCTCCTTGGTATTTATAACCGTATTTGCCGCTGTTATAGCCAGATGCCAACGCCATTAAAATGATACAGCTCTTTTTCTTTGTTCTGATTTCTTGCCTACCAAACAGCCTTCTTCTTTGAATTTGACGCTTAATCTGTTCTTCAGCCTGTGGAGTATTTAGGTCCATTTGGTAATGCATTTTCCATAACAAATTAATGTGTTGCAATTCAGTGGATATCTTACCCTATTGTAAGTTATGTTGGCCTATGTCAGTCTCCTAAACCTACTCAGGTATACATAACCCTGTATTTGGAGTTGCAAAGCTGAGGAGGATCAGACCCTGGAACACAATTAAATTACAAAAAGTGGTCAGCCTGCCTTGTAGAGAACATATCTTTGTCTCATCACTAACAAAAAGAAAGTATCTATTTTGAGTGCATATAGTTGAAATACATTTATTTAGTGACTAAGAGTTACTAAATATAAGTCGAATATGACAATTTAAATTTTTTTCTTTTTTTTTTTAAGTGGATGTATAACATGGTAAAATGCATAATGTACACTTGAGTGAATTTAAATTCTTTTTAAAAAGTTGCATAGAAATGGTCACAAGGGGTCTGGGCGCCTGCAGATACACACTTGCTCCTTGATTTATGATGGATATGCATCCTGATAAACCCATCATAAGTAGAAAATACTATAATTCAAAAATGCATTTAATATATCTAGCCTACCTGAAACATGCTCAGAACACAGCCTACAGTTGGACAACATCATCTAACAAAATCATCTATTATAAAAATAAGATTTTTTATAATAATAAAAAATGAAGGATTTATATTTGATATATCATTTCTACTGAATGCACATTGCATTTGCACCATCATAAAGAGGAAGAATCATAAGTTAAACCATCGTCATTCAGGGACCATCTGTGTAGTGAAATAACATTTGGTCTGTGATTTCTGCTGTCATTTTTATAATGATGTGCAGAATTGCCTCATGGTTTAAAAACACCCAAAAATAATAGCTAGGTTTTTTCAGAGATGAAAGCTCTAGTTACTCTCTTGAGAGATTGAAAAGCTCTAGTTACTTTCTTGAAGAGTTTGATTCTATGAGTTTATGGTATTCTTGGGTAAAATAGTTTTTCTTTATAACTTTGTGACCTTCTGGGCAGAGTGGTAGGAAGAATCATATTAATAATTTCCTTCATTACCAGACAGGAAGTTATATACCCATTTTAGTAGATATTAAGCTACTAAAAGCAAACACCTGATTTAAGATCTGTACATATTTTTGATATTGTTTATTTGTCATTCCACAGGCAGTAGGTTATAGTTGTATGCCCAGTAATAAAGATGAAGATGGGCTAGTGGTTTTAGTTTTCAATAAAAAGGAGACGGATATTCGAAGCCAGCAACAGCAGTTGGTAGAATCATTGCACAAAATTTTGGGAGGAAACCAGACCCTTACTGTAAATGTAGAGGGTATTAAAACATTGCCAGATGATCAGTAAGTATACATAAATATATGTTTATTTCTACGTTTACTTCTGGTCCAAAGAAAGTGGTCAACGGTGTTTTTGTTGCTAAAGCACAAATTAAATCTCAGAGTAGAATGTCTTTTCTCAGTGATCATTCAGTATTTACAGAAACGTTTGTTTAAGGGCTTTTTAAACATTTTTGTATTTCTTGACTTACTAGATGCTGATAATTTTTTAGATTTTCAGCCTAGGACCAGGAAGAAGCATTTGTCATAGCCAGGTGTCAGTTAAAGGCCTCAAAGACCTTATTAGAATCTTTCATTAACTGGCTGCTGCTTGTGCTCATTCATCCGTGTCTGACTCTCAGCTTGCTTAGAAGACATTTACTTTAGGGTGTCCAGGGTTAGAAGAGTTATTATTATTAAGATATAGTAACTGAATCAAATTTCACCTCTTACTTGGTCTTAATTGCAGGAAAGCAACCCTTGAGTTTCAGCAGACTCTCCAAAGTACTTCTTGATTCTGGAAAATATAGTAAATAACATTTATGAAGGATTTTGCAGCTAAGCAGATTGTTTTACAAATATCTTATTTACCTGGCTCATTTTAACTGTCATTTAAATTGACTTGTAAGTGGGCTTAATATTATGTAAAGGTTTCTTATTTTCTAAGATTTAGGAAGAAAACACTTTAAATCCCTTTGCCATTTTTGAATCCCACTCAACCCCTTCTAAAGCCACATGCTGTGCTGAGAATTCGAGGCTGTGAGTTATGGGCTCTGTATTGTGTACGCTGGTTGTTTTCCTTCAGGACAGAAGTTGTCGTGTATGTGGTTGAGCGCTCTCCCAATGGCACATCAAGAAGAGTTCCAGCCACGACACTCTGTGCCCATTTTGAACAAGCCAATATAAAAACACAGTTGCAGCAAATTGGCGTCACCCTTTCTATGACGAGAACAGAGCTTTCTCCTGCACAGATCAAGCAGCTCTTGCAGAACCCTCCTGCTGGTACGTGTCAAGGGTCATGGAGTTGAGGAAGTGAAAGATTTAGAACCAAACTCTTGCCCCATCCTGGAGGTGTAGGTCAGTCATTACTGTTAATGAATTGAGTGCCCACTTACCACATAGCTGCTTATTTGGAACATAGTTTTGAATATTTTATTGTCTTCATTCATTTAGTTTTTCTTATGTAGCTAGCATATATGTATTAAAATAGGAATAGGAATTTGAGGGAAACGATAAACTAAAGAAACAGTCTGGAATCCATCTACCCAAAGGTAATTGACTAGTAATATTTTGGTTTATCTTTTCTAGCTTATGTCTTGTTTTAAGTGTTCAGGTAAAATTTCGTCTCTTGTTTTAACTGTTTCATGGCATAACTAGATTAACTATGTGATAGAGTTTCTTTACCTCCCTCCCCAGAAGTAACTACTGTTAATTTACTGAACTTTATTAATCCTTTATCCTTGATTCTAAATATAAGCATATTTACATGTAGGTCGAAAAAAGGGTTCTGGACTGGGCGTGGTGGCTCACACCTATAATCCCAGCACTTTGGGAAGGAGGCAGGAGGATTGCTTGAGCCCAGGAGTTCGAGAGCAACCTAGGCAGGACAGCAAAACCTGGTGTCTACAAAAATTTTAAAAATGAGCTGAGTGTGGTGGCACACGCTTGGAGTTCCAGCTACTCAGTACTCAGGAGACTGAGGCAGGATCACCTGAGCCCAGGAGGTCAAGGCTACAGTGAGCATGATCATGCCACTGCACTGCAGGCTAGGCAACAGAGTGGCACCTTGATTCACAAAAAAAAAGGGGGGGGGTGGAATTCTGCACTGTTTGTCTGCAGCTTGTCTTTCCACTTACGGTATTTTTAGTACTTTTCATGTCAGTACATAAAGATAAATCTTAATTCTATTTAAATATTGCATGGTATTCCGTGGATATACTTTCACTTAACCTCTAGGTTTCTATCTTTTCGCTATTACAATCTATGCAGCAATCAACACCATCCTTGCAAATAAGTCTTAGAACACATGGGTATATCTTTCTTTAGAATAGCTCTCTGGGCCAACCCCTTTGGGTCCTTTTCAACTGTAGGAGCTTTTCTGTCCTCAGTAAATCCTGCTTTCTGAAAAAAAAAAAAAAGAATGACTCTCTGGAAATGAAATTTTTGAGTCAATGTTATGTATATTAGAGATTGCCAAATTGCCCTCCAAAGAAAGTCTACCATTTATATTTATAAGAATGTATTATTTTTCTCATATTTTTTGCCACTAATGGCAAATAATTTAAAAATTAATACTTATTTTAATTTGCATTTCCTTGGTTACTATTAAAGTTGAACATCTTTTCGTATGTTTATTAGCTACATATTTGTGTTTTTTGTGAATTACCTATCATGCCCTTTTCCCATCTTCTACATTTTTTTTGTCTTTTTGAATTATAGGAGCACTTTTTATATTCTGGAGGCTAATGTGTTATAAGTTATAGATACTTTCTCTTAATCTATATTTTTTTGAGCTTTTTTTTCTACAAATTATTTTTCTGTGATGATATTTGGCAATCACTTTTCATTATAGCATCTGAGTTTAAAGTATTGGGAAAGCCTTTCCCATATACATATTACAAAAATAGAAAATTTTTGTTTAGAAGAAATATTTTTTCTTTATGTTAGGTGTTGATCCAATTATCTGGGAACAAGCCAAGGTGGATAACCCTGATTCTGAAAAGTAAGTGTATCTTCATGTTTCATGTAAGAAGTAATATTTGCTACAAGAAAAGCACACAACCTGTTAACTATAATTCTTACATATGAAGAGAGTTCATTTTCATTGCTTTTTAAAAAAATTGATATAGTAAAGCAACATAGTGCAGAACTAGTTAGGAGTGGAGAATCTGAGGGTCAGCCCCCTGATATATGCTTTTAATCATGCTGTTTTTTGACAACCGTATTTTCTCATTTGTAAAATAGGGAGGTGAACAAAAACTGGTGTAACATTGTGGATCTCATTATCATAGGTCTGCCTTAGAACCCTAGAAGTTTGATGTAAAATTACATGAATGTTATTACTTTTAAAACTTAACTTCTGGTATTTTGTAGTAATAGGCTTAAGATCTGAAAACTGTCTGCTTGAATTTCTTTAGGTTAATTCCTGTACCAATGGTGGGCTTCAAAGAACTTCTCCGAAGACTGAAAGTTCAAGATCAGATGACTAAGCAGCATCAAACCAGATTAGATGTAAGCATTTAGCTTTTCTAGGAGTAAAAAGATGGTTTATAGACATTTAATTATTTTTACCATGTGTACTGCTTTTATCTTATAGGGAAACAATATAAAATACACTGCAAATTAACAATTATAGTTTCATATAACTACCTTTTTGATGATATAGGTCCCAAAGTCCTATAAATCTGATTTGATGTGTTTTAACAATGAATTTAGAATTGTTGACTTAGCAAATTAATTTGATTGTCGTTTCCAATTTCAGCCAGAGATTTGCATATTATTTTATTAAACTATTCTATGTATGGAGCCTTATGAAAATGAAAATGATTCTTCATCTTGTTATAACATATAATTGTCTTGGTGTATTATTATAGGTTGATGAAGCAAATTTAAATTATTGAATGCTGAAATCGACTTAATATTTTATTTCATAAAGTAGACTTCCATAATCAAATACTTAAAAATTCTTAAAGGTCAGAGAAATATGTATGATTTCAATTCTTTTAACTTTGGCTAAAGTTTTATAACCCAGGAGCCTATGAAAACAATGTTGTATATTCTGCTGTTCTTGAGTGGAGTTTTCTGTTAGTGTCAGCAAGATCCAGTTGGTTAGTATTGTTCAGTTCTGTATTTTTGGTGATTTTTCTGTCTTCTAGTTGGGTTATTGTGAGAAGAGTTAAGTCTCCAGCTACATTTGTGGATTTGTCTTTTTTTCCTTTAAATTTTATCAGTGTTTGCTTCAGTATTTTGAAGCTCTGTTGTTAGGTACATATTTATCTAGGATTGTTGTGTTTTCTTGACAAATTTACTTTTTATTATTATGTCTCTTTTTATCCCTGGTGATTTTTTTTTATCTTTAGAGGTGTTTTTTGGCTTTTATTATTATTTTTAATTGGCACATAATACACATTTATAGGGTGCAGTGTGAGAATTCAATACATGTATACAAGGTGTAATCATCAAATTAGGATCAGGGCAGTTAGCATATTATCATTATGTAATATGTCCATTACCTCAGACATTTATCATTTCTGTGTTGTGAACATTTACATTCACTCCCATAGCTATTTGAAAAATACGATAGACTTCATTATAGTCCCCCTATAGTGCTGTGGGACACTAGAACTTACTCTTCCTGTCTGGCTGTACTTTTGCATGGGTTAGCCAACCTTTGGCCAGGCCCGCCTCAGGCAGCCACTATTCTCTACTTCTGTGGGATCAACTTTCTTAGTTTCCACATAGGGTGAGAACATGTAGTATTTATCTTTCTGTGTCTGGCTTACTGTACTTAGCATGATGTCCTCCAACTCATCCATGTTGCTGCAAATGACAGAATTTCATTCATTTTTATGACTAAATAGTATTTCATTGTATAATGTACTACATTTTCTTATCCATTCATCTGTTCTTGGACACTTACTCAGACACTTGCTCTGAATTCTACTTTGAAATTAACACAGCCCCTCTACCTTTCTTTTGAGAAGTGTTTGTATAGTTTATGTCCATCTTTTTGCTTTTAACCTACCAGCATCATTATATTTGAAGTATGTTACTTTTTTTTGAGTCAGGGTCTCCCTCTGTTGCCTAGAGTGGAGTGCAGTGGTGAGATCATGGCTCACTGCAGCCTTGACATCCTTCACTGCATCCTTCCACCTCAGCCTCCTGAGTAGCTGGGGCTGCAGGCGTGCACCATCATGCCCAGCTAATTTTTTTTGTTTTTTTGTAGAGATGAGGTCTCACTATGTCGTCCAGGTTGGTGTTGAATTCCTGGGCTCAAGTGATCCTCCCACCTTGGCCTCCCAAAATGCTGGGATTACAGGCGTGAGCCACTCCACCTGGCTTGAAGTGAGTTTCTTGTAGATAACAAAGTTTGGATTTTAGGCTTACAGTCTTATTTTTTGTGTGCTGCCTCTGTTTTTCATTCATTATTTCCTCTTTTTCTGTCTTGAGTTTTCTGGACTTCTTTTAGCATTCCATTTTTAATTTGTCTCTACCTTATTAGTCTGTTTTAGTAGTTTCTCTAAGACAGTTCCTAGTGTGGGGTTGTGGGGGCAGTGTCTCCCAGAGTGCATGTGGTAATGTCTGGAGGCTCTTGGCTGGGGCATGCTCCCGGCACCTTGGGTGCTACTGTCTTGTGGTGTACAGGACGGTACTCCCACAGCAGAGAATTACCTGGCCCAGGTTCCCAGGCCGAAGTGAGCAGCTGTTTCTGGAACGTCGTCTCCCACTAGAGCTAGCAGACTTCTCTTAGGGCTCTCCGCCAGTGAGACTCACTTCCAGGCTTGGAACTGAGTTGAAACCAGACTGAGGATGCCTGAGGAAAATGGGTGACTTTGCCATCAGTTCACTGTTTCTTCCTTTCAATTCTTAGCTTCTTCCCTGACCTTACTGCCACTGTTGATTCTTCAGAGACCTCAAATGGCTGCCCCATGCATTCCATCCATATTTTATAGCTGTATTAAATGTGAGAGCTCAGGTGGTGTATATGCTTAGTCCATTTTGTCTAGAACTGAAATCATTTCTATCTTTTGCCACTTTTTCTGTTGGGCTTCCTATCTTTATTAAACTTTAGTCATTCGTCATTTACTCTAGATTGTGATCTCTATCTGTTGTAGATAGTGTGTCATTTACATGGTAAAAATACTAAGTATCTTGTAGTTTCTCTTCTCTGTTAACTCTTCTTTGGTATCCATAGTTGAACAGAAATCCATAGTAATGATATCTGTTTTTTGCCTTGTGTTTTCTTTTTGGGAATTTAAGTCATTTTTTACCCCAAGATCTAAGTGCCTCCTACATTTTAAAAAATACATTTTAGAGTGTAACTTTTCACATTTGGATTAGAGATGTACACTTTGGTCTCCCTGGTGTGTTCACCTTTATATTTAATATGTAAAATGAGTCTAGCTTTATTTTTCTCTAAATAGTGGTTGTATATTTCAAATATTGTTCATAAAGATTTGATGTTTCATTAAAGATTTATCAAAGAATTTCAGTTACACCAAGAATATATGTGATCTATTTCTAGACTCTTTTAAATTTCAATGGCTAGTTGGTCTGTCTTGCTGCAAGTTCTACATGTTTTACTCTTTTGGCTTTATAGTATATCTTAATATCAAATAGAATAAATCTCTAATCTTTGTCCTTCTTTTCAAAGTTTTCTTTCTTTTTATGGATTTTTATTCCACAAAAATTTTACAGTCAATTTATCACAATGTTAGAGTTATGGTTGAAATTGCATTAAATGTTTTTTGTTTGTTTTTTTTGTTTGTTTTGTTTGTTTGTTTGTTTGTTTTTGAGTTGGAGTCTCACTCTGTTGCCCAGACTGGAGTGCAGTGGCTGCTCCTGGC